TGTGGCCGTGTATCAGACTGCTAAATATTACTTTGTAAGTCCGACCTAACATTTCATACTGAAATCGGTGCACCGGCTTCGTAATGGGAGCAACGTATTGCATTGAACTTTTCCGTACCCTGCATTTCGTTGTGTATGCATTTAACATTAAATCACGGCTGGGTTTTCCCTAATATAAACGGTACTTTTTATAATGCTTATAAAGTTCTTTTTTCACTGTCACCTGTTACCTGAACCTTGTAAACTACAATCTCTTAAACCTATGGATATTATGGCAAACTCCTCTTATGTACATGACATTAAAGTGATTAGATATGAAAGCCATAGATAGTCTAGCAATAGGTCCATACCTATTCAACACAACAGCTCTGGCCAAACAGCTCAAAGCCAGTAACTTTTGTTGATATAGGCTTTGATGATATAACGATACCATTTTTCTTGTTATGTCATCACTACTAAATATCTTCTAAATAGTTCATTTTATAAACTTATGATTTCTGAATTTTGAAATCGACACCAATTATGCATTGTATGGTACTTTTCACTGGTCACCTGATTGCTACATATTTAGACTAGCTTCCGAATCGTGTGTAGATATTTCCAAAATCTATTTTCCGTATTAGACCTTGAAATGTAGCTAAATCTTCTCATAAGAAAATGCTAAATGTAATCTTCATTAGTTTAGAAAATTATATACGGTTTTGTTTTTGAAATTAGTTACAAGCGACGGACGTAGAGTACAAATAAAAAGTAGGTAGGTACTTATTCAGAATATTTTATCTCTTCTATAAGTATTAATTTATTTTATTACGTAGTTCTCACAGTTTTTCTGAATATTTGTAGTTCTTCAGTAACAGTTATAGCTCTTTAGTTACCTAGCTATGTGATAATATATAATACGTACAATTGCATAAATAAATGTTCAAATTCAATGCCATTTTGACACACCTCTCAGACTTCCGCTTACGTCAAAGCTGTTTGTGAAAGCCATAGAGTTGAATTTTCTGTAAAATTTATTGTTTCTCTATGAAAATGTACTTTAGAAGGTTTTCTTGATAATATTGTGGCTATTTTTCTTCCCAAGGTCAATTTGTAGTACTGTTATACATAAGTAAATGTTGTTATACCTACACGCTTTAAGATGTTTGTTTTTATTCCGATTTAACCGGAAAAAACTAGAAATAACAAGTTTTATGTTCATTTTTTTTTTCAATTTTGGTAAACGCTTTCCTTTGAAATCCACCAAAAAAATTGGTTCTAGTATACAATTCTTCGTAATTAGTGAATTCATTGTGTCTAAACAATGTGTTGTTTGCACAGATGATATCGACTTTAAAGTAAATAAAAGAGGGCATTCCGTCATTGTCTGGTTATTGGGTCAACACAAGTTATGACATATACTAAGAACCTCTGCTTTTAAATCTACCTATCTAAATAATCCTTTTGTCTGTTTGTTTAGTTCTAGACGGGTAGGAAAAAATCTTTGCATTTGGTCATGAGGGGTACCTGACCATCATACGGTCATGTAGGAGAAAAATGGTTTGAACAGAACTAAAATATCCGTAATAATACGTGTACAGACCATTCTAGTGGATTCTAGGATCTCTTCTAGATAGTTTTGCACCTGGTAAGTGAGCTGGAGATCGAGGTAAAATTTAAGCCAAGATATTTAGTTCATTTTTGTCTACTGCGTGTCAATCGATTTTGATTCTTATATTCACATTTATACTTCCTACTTTCCTCTAGTTTCGAGTAAATGAGTAATCTGGTTTAACCTTGATTCGGATAGTAGAAAAACCCTCGCAAAGGCACTGATTACTACATATTAAAATCTATTTGAATAAAAGATAACATACTTTAAAGACAATGAAGTAAATCTTTTGAAAGACAAAGACTTGTAACATGAAGACGGAATGTAATCTGAACCAATATCATGCACGGTATGAACCGATCCAAATTACAGCCATTGGACTCCTGTATATGATACTGAATAAGAAACTCTATTTACAAAGAAATAAGTAATGATTTACGTAATTTCATTTACAAGTTCATTGTTATTGCGAAAGTGTTTCTTTTCTAACACTTACATGGCTTCTTCAAAAGTAGGGATATCACTATTTTAAGAAATGTAATATTATTGTTGTTAGTTTTGGTTGTATTTCAAGATGTTCCACCTTTCCTTCATATTTCCTCAGCTTGTTTACATTGTCTTGGTTTAAATCCTGACCTAGATTCAAATTTTATTTGTTTATCAGTACCACAATGTGGAAAGACTTCATTTTGATAGTTATGGCTTCCGATTTAGTAACTCACTGTTTCTTCCACTTATTCTGTGACATAATCATCACTGTTATTTGTATAAATATCTACTTATGTTCTTATTTAAGCTGTTATGTTTGGACTATCTGTGTAAACAGAAATGTAGGAGACAAGAACTCCGAATGTTTCCATACTCCGTACCTTTACAGAAAACACATCGATTTGATTTGGTGATTGATTCACCAAACCAAAACTATGTCTTTCAAGTTTTCAAAATGATTGTTCTAATCTAGATAATAAAGTAAATGATTTTTGGAGTACTGTTCATGTAGTTTTCATCAGATTAGATTCTAGAAACCCATATTCATGAGCCTTGAGAGCATATCAAATAATTACGTGAGTAATTCAAAAAACATAATAATTCATTTAGTATATCCTCATGAAAACTATAATATAAGAATAAGAATAATTTATTTAGCAAAACAAAGGACAAGTATACCTATTATTTAACAGAAAGCGATAATAAATACATAGAAATCACAATCACAATTGCAAGGTAGACCAAAAAATACTAGTTTATAATGTATACATACAAGTTAACATAAGCAGTGGCATTTCTGTAGTATCAAAAATACACAGCAACAGCAATCCTATAATACACCTTGCAAACAAAAGTAATTTAACTCAGTAATTCACAAGACAATAAGTTTGATACCAAAAGTGTAATAAATGTCCACAGACGGTATACGTAGATTTTTTACTTTACCTCCCGTGCTAGTCAAAGACTGTGTTACAGCAAGATTAGATCCTACCTACGATAGCCTTTATGATCGAAAATGTATTTGAAAAACTGGTTAATATATCAAAACGGTGCATTGTCTGATAACCAGTCATTGAATGTCCAAATTAACATGTGAGACAAAAGTAATTGGTATTACAAATTAATAGAATGATAATAAAGCTTTTATTAAAGGTTATAAAATGGGTATTGAGTTTAAGCACCCACTTGACAGTGACACCTACGTTTTGTTAATTAGTTTTAATGTAAATTTTGCTGTATCTCTGGGGAATATAAATATAATTACAGTATTCCACAAAAGTATGTTACGACTTAGCTGGTTACCGGGGCTCAAAGCAGAGGTACGAACGAAGTGGTTTTTTAGTCAGTAAATAGTGTAATCAGTCAATAGTAATAGTTATCAGTAAAGAGTCTGACACTCTCTCGCCTCACCAAGACTGGAGAAGTTATTGGATGATTTTATCCCCTTAAAAAAAGGTGTACTCACAATCGTCTGAGATAATATGAACGTAAACGAAGCAGTAGGTTTTTTTGGAATAGCATAATATTTTTTTTCGGTTATTTTTTTATGGGACAACCCAGTAAACGAGCAGACAGATCATCTGATGGTAAGTCGGCGTCGCCCATGGACACCCGAAACACCAGAGAAACAGTAGAAACGAATAAATGACGCCAATTTGTTATGCAGGTTTTTAAAAACGAATAGCATTTTGTCTGATGCAAAGCTGGATCCGAAACTACATACGTAGCTGTTGCAGATATCTCTTACCCACATCATGAATAGTAGTTATAAAACTTATATCATAAACTTCTAGGTCATATCAACAGCTCCATAACCCATAACCCCATGATAAAGTGAACTATTATCGTTTTTATTCGTGGTAAAAGCAATAAGGATTATAATAAGAGCACAATGCCATGGTCGCCGTATAACTTATTACTATTGCATGAGTTACGTCATATATTTACCGCATTTGAAAATCGTATGATTCTTTGATCGATTGCATTTTCCTTGCCCGTAATGTTTTGTTAATTTACAGGTAAATATTTGCTAACTTAGTTATTTGAGTTATGTTGAAGGCGAATTGGTTTTTGTGGTACTTGAAAGATTGTAGAGTCTTGATTACTCTTAATTAAAACCAGTGTAATTTTCTGGATAGATTTAAATACACTCACTTTAATTCATGTGCTCGTATTTGTGTAAATAGTCAAAGTAAAAAAGTTTTAATTTTAAAATACTCTTCATAAACTTAAAGAGTCAATAGTCAATACAGATTTTTGTCAAGTTTGATCCGATTGCGCCAAAACTTAATATTCGTATGACGAAGAACGAACAACTAATAAAAGTTCAATGTTATTTAATTTGTCTTTCACAATTTTTCAATATTTTTACCAATGTCACTAATACATTTTGTGTACCTATTCTGTATTTATTTATTCAAAATATATTTGAATAATGTGTAGAATTATTTATCTAGTTTTGACGTATTTGCCCGTTGAATATTAAATGGTTTCTGACGTTATTTTAACAAAAAAATAACAAAGTCATGATTGATTGTATGTAAAGTGATTTTCTACGTCTATCCTTTTGTTTTTCTTTACACTAAATTAGTTTTCTTTTATCTAGTTTAGTAGCAGTTACTGACGCTTTTGTGTCTAGGATAATATTCTTATCTTTATTCTAGTTAGTTTGGCTTTGATTGCAGAATATAGCGTTTTGGCTTCTAATTCAGTGTTAGGTTTTTTAGTCCCCAAATATTGTCTGATTTCGAAATTATTACCATAAAATTTCACACTTGTTGAATAATGTTTTAAACATCGTATTTTTACTGTAGTGGAAACGTATTGCATGAATTTACACGTGCCATACGTAGAAATATTTTTTTTCGTTTCATAGGTGGACCGTAAATATTATTAGAATTTAAATAAACAAAAAACTCACGGAAACGAATAATGAAATCCTTTATCCTCACGTCTTCTAGCACCAGACTTCGCAGCCAAAAATAACACAACACGTTTGTAAAAATATTACTATTAAAAGTTTTCACAGTGCGAAAATATAAATTAATCGCGTTAATACGACGACGAGTCGTGCATCCCTTACGGACCGCAGGCACACACTGACCCGTTGCTTGGACTGACTGAACGCCGGACGCTCCCGCGCTTTTTTTCTTCGACAGTGCTCCGTGTCGGGCAAAGCGAACGCGTCGTATTCAGCCTATTTATTTTTAATTTCAATCAAGAGTGTGTGAACCTTCGGGCACGTGACAATGAAAGGTCAGTATTTTACGAACAAATAATGTTTTGCTAGACTCTTATCATTTTTCTAAGGTTATTGTTTCAGGTAGTCCGTTAACCGAAGCTTTAATCTTTCCTGTGACCTCTTTTGACGTCATGCGACAGTTAGTATTACTTATGGACCTGTCTTCATTCATTGAAGCCAACCTAATAATTACGAAACTAGTCTTGGTAGTAATGTTAGGGCCAAGCCTTCTTTAATATCTACATTTGAGTTGATGGTCGCCGTTTTTCTTGAGAGCAAATTATGGTTATCCATCCAGCTGATGAGTTTCAAAACGTGAGAGCTGAGTTAAAACACGAATTCATGTAATATGTACGTCGTAAATGTAGAATTCTATTTCATTTTATTTATCGTTTTGTTATGTATATTATTATTTTAGATTTCCTCGTTTTCCTGTTTTGTCAAAATTAGTTCACTTAAAATAAAATTGTATTTAGTCATTATTATTTTATCGCCATATATTAGCCACAGCTTATCAATTATTTCTGTTGGAGTGGACTACCTTCCAAAATTGGTCGCATCTACTACGTTTAAAAAAACAATATCCGTGACTGCTGTGCTGACTGCTAACTGGTTTTTGGGCACTCTTGGTCATCATAAAACCAGTATGCAAATCATATGCTCTGTCTAGCTGTCGGACTATTTTGAGTAAGACAAGTTTTTTATATTGTTTATAGTTTTTAAAAACAATAGTTTGGTGTTGGTAAACGTTCGTAGTTTACTAATAACTTTATTATTTTAAATAGGTTGTCTGTACGACTATTTTATTGGCTATTTTTATTTACATAATGGACATTTTTAGACTTTGAGAGTACCTATTAATTGACTATTTACCTAAGTTGATGCATTGGATGTCTCTCACTGCAACTAGTTACGGTTCAGAGTGGACTGCAGCATCCTCTTTTTTTGCGGAGTTAGCTCTGATTCCCGCAAGATCTGCCAAGAGGAGAAATTGTGGCTAACCCCTTTTTAAAAGAGAAGCCTTTTTTAGCCATGGTCTATATATATGGCTGCTGATGATAGGCATTTAATAGACAAATCGAGATATTTAACACCTAAATGAAAGTTGTTTAATAGACAAAGTAATTTTATGGTGGTTAAACGTCAACCTATCAAATATAAAAAGAAACGAATTGGTTTTTAATAATCACGTCTAAACAATAACTCCGACACGTTCGGAATACAAGTACCTATTTTCGAGAAAATTTCATTACTGGCGGAATTAATAATTATGACGACATATTTTTCATTTATACCAATATTAGTTGATTAGTGCATAGGTATTTTTATAGATATTGTCGCCTGTTTTTAATAATAAAATTATGGGTTCATTAGAACATTAAAAAATAAACTACTATCGTTAATTTTTTCAACTTAACTGACATTCAGGAGTTCAGAATCTATTTATAGAATTATCAATTTGTCTCCAAAGTTCATTATCTTGTAATGATAAGACCATTACTTTCTGGACCAGTTTTGTCCTGGGTAAACAAATGTAGTTTTTATACTAGTAATAACTGGTTATAATCTTATGCTCTTATGCTCCTGTAAACTAACAAGTGCCTTACGAATATTTTCGGGCTCTTTGGGAAATATAACATTTCAGAACATCACGCCTTATATCCCTAAAGGGGTGGCAGAGGTGCCCATTAAAGCACTTAATGCCACTGCTGCGTGCTACAGTTGTAGCACGGAGGCTGGAATTGTGCCCGGTATATGGCAATAGGCTCACCCCCTGTTACATGGGGCTCATAACATAGATAGTGAAAAGTGGGTGTTACATTGTACAGTGGCAAAAATGTGCACCTCTGCCTACCACTTCGGGGATAAAAGGCGTGATGTTATGTTATGTATGTTTTTCACTACAATTCAAGATGAAAAACTTACCCAAATATTTCAAACATTTTCATGGAACTCGTAAATTTTTCTTTCTAATATCCAGTTCAACTAGTAATCCACTTAAAATAATCGGAGTGAGACGCCCAACAACAATCCAATCACGTAACGCTGTATTATGTCATACGACCTACAACGACGCAGGGATAAGTGTCAAAATTAATGAAGAAATTACGTAACTAGATTATCTATTGAATACCCAAAGCAAATACCTTATAAGATCCCCTTTTGTGTAAAAATTTTGCGGACAAAAGAAAACTTAAGAGCCACATGTCTTTAACATCTTGAATGCCATAGGGGACAACATGAGATAGCGGAGAATGTGCCCTCAATAGGTTCTTGTCGGTAGTCAAAGGTTCAAAGGTTCTTTTTAAGTCGAACCTCAGCCAATAAGCTACCAATAAGGTGCTTTAAATACAAATCTTAGGAAGCTGATTTCATCTATAAGATATGAAAATCAGGTGAAGTTTTTATTTTTCTGTTTTTAGTTCTGAAACGGTCACAGTTACACAGAATAATGAACGATTAACTTCTAAATGATAATGAAACCGAAATATCTTTGGTTTTAATCATTCTGCATAAAAGTTTATAATTATTCTGATAAATGTTCTGCCTAAAAGAAATAACTCTTTTAATGAGTTACAAATACCTTGTAGTAAATGCATAAAAATCTTTGGAAAAATAGAATAGTTACTGTTCAAATTTAATCATCAATATTTACTTGAGAATGAATAATTTGCGACTTGCCTCCATTTTCACCAATTTCTTCAATGTCCTATACCACAAAAAAGTCGCGGAGAACCTAACGGGTAACCAGGGCTCGACGTGCAGGAGAAGGAACGGGGTGGTTTTTAGTCAGTAAGAGTCTGACACTCCCTCCCGCCTCACCCAGGCGGGAGCAGTCATTCGATGATTTTCCCCCCTTAAAAAAAATATCACAAGAAAAACAAGACAATAAAAGAAAGCGACAGGGAAGCAGCCATTACGCGAAATATCAATGTTATTGATACAGAAATAGTTGCCCAGCCAGTGACCATGAATTTCTTCCCGGTTCCCTATGAAAAACATGATATAAATAAATATACGCACTCTTGCGCAGCCGTGGGCACAATATCATTTAATATTATGACACATGGCGCGAAAAAAATAGTGATACAAACGTTAGAACTGCGTATATCCGTTTGTTTCCATAAGATAGAGGACACACGACCTTGTCACTTAATTTTAAGTGCCCTTGTCTTATTCTTATTTTTATTTTATGAGAAATTCTCAAGGATGTTCCACTTGATTTAAATGTGTTTATTTTTAGGTGTCATTCATTGAAATTTGCAAAGCTATTTGTTTTTTTTTTTGCGTACGGTAGGTCTTTATTTAGAGATGGGGACCTTTATAGATTTATAAGGTGCATAGAAACAATGATTTACGTTATTTGTTGGTTGAGGAAGTTGAAAATTGTGTCTTGAAATTTATGAAAGCTGTAAATGTTTAACGCGGATTGCTTACCATCAGATGATACGTCTGCTCGTTTACCGGCTTATGCCATAAAAAAAAGAAAAATAATGTTCACCTTTTGGCTAGCTTTATTCCAAAGGAGTTGGAGATTGCGCAATGTATGTTATTCTTCTTGTCTATCACTTAACAGCATCTGCATCTCGATTGTGCTTTTAACCATTTAAAACAGTTTATCTTTCAGGTTCTTACGCTTTGAGACCTTTAAGTTTATTAACTCATCAGAGTGTCATGATGGTATCTTCAATGTTTTTAACTTTGTACTGATGAAGTTTAATAAAATAGTATTTACAGAGTTACAGGCAGCAACCATTTACTAAGAAGTATGACGTACTATATTCAAGTAGACACCTTCTTAAATATATCGATAGCTATCATCTTAATTTTACACGTTTCGGTATTTAAGCGCAGACGCAAAACTAATAAATACCAGCTTAAACTAATTATAACCGGTTCAAAGCGGTTATTAATTGCATCAGCCATTTTATCCTTTGAATAACGATCATGATTATCTGATAAATGGTTATTATCTAATCTTTTTTTTAGTTGTTTAGATGGTAGGTGATTTATCTTGGAAAACTTTGGTATCCTGTTTTTATAGACTGAAATAGAAACTGCATGAATAAAATGTATTTTTGTTCAGCTGTTTACTTCGTTACGTGCGCGTACGCAGGTGCTGGTGTTCTTTGATCAAGTGTAGTGTTTTGCAAGTTCCTATTTCGATCCTTATTGTCTCTTTGTGTAAAGCTAAGAAGCTTCTTGTCTTGATTGTGTAAAAAGTAGACGATTTGTCATCGTATTTCTTTTTTAAACGTTGTAAATTGGTGTATGTTGAATTGTAGGCATGAATTGCATTTCGAATAATATTCAAGCAATTAAATTATTTAAGTACAATAGATAGGTATGTGATTTTCCTGCAATTTTCCTCTTTAAATTTAAAAGGCCATTATTAATTGGTCCATATTAATTAGGTGTTCAAAAATAAATTATTTCGCTTGTTCAATACAATAAATTATTGAAAAATAATCACACTTTCATTAATAGATTTTATGAGCAATTTAATTTAAGTGTTTTTCCAGCATTTTTTTTAAAGAAATAAGTAAACTGTTTGACGCTAAAAAAACGTGACGTCACAATACACAATCTCGTACAAAATTAATAGAAAACTGTCTTTTTTGACAGTTCGAAAAAAGTATTGAATTTGACTTATTAATAAAGTAAAATTACCATCATACAAGAAAGTTAAGTTCGACGGTGCATTAATCTGCCTTCACCGCCCGACACTGGCAGTATAGTCGACAACTTCGTATTGGAGACTCGGTTGCCAAAGAAGAGAAAAAAAAATACCATCATACATCACACCATTTTTCCTACTAGCCTTCAATTGCAATATAGATTCACAAATAAAACGTTAACCAT